GGCCCTCCGCCACCCAGCACGAGAAGTACTCGGCCCTCCGCCACCCAGCACGAGAAGTACTCGGCCCTCCGCCACCCAGCACGAGAAGTACTCGGTCCTCTATCACCCAGCACGAGAAGTACTCGGTCCTCTATCACCCAGCACGAGAAGTACTCGGTCCTCTATCACCCAGCACAAGAAGTACTTGGTCCTATCACTCAGCACAAGAAGTACTTGGTCCTCTATCACTCAGCACAAGTACTTGGTCCTATCACTCAGCACAAGAAGTACTTGGTCCTCTTATCACTCAGCACAAGAAGTACTTGGTCCTATCCCTCAGCACAAGAACTACTTGGTCCTCTATCACCCAGCACAAGAAGTACTTGCCCCTCTATCACTCAGCACAAGTAATGACAAAGGTGGTGGTGCAGGAACCTGCCTTTTCATTCAAGCAAGCTTGGAAATCACGTTTCATGTCCGTCACAGCAACTCTATCCTGAGATCTCTTTGGACCGCTGACAGATGCAACTATTGAATTCAGATGAATCCGAATCACCTAAGAGACCAGAGGGAAGAGGAAAAAAAGGAATGAGAATTTGTTAGGTACAGACTGCAATTTAGCACTACTAAGGCAGAATAAATACATCCACATTTGTTGTAATGGTGATCTACACTCCCAGAAATAAAGATTTTAAAACAATCCCAATTTGTGAAACAGAACATACAAACATTGGCTAAAAGCGAGCGCAGATCAATATGCAAACTGCCCAACACCAGCCGTGTAGTCTAGAGTATCTTGTTCCCCCGATTTCTTTCCCCCTAACGTCACAGATGCCTGATGATAAAGCAGATGCCTGTGATGGCTATCAGTCTACTGCCCCTGAGCTCCAAATTCACCCTTCCCTGCTCTGTGACAACTGAGGTGGGTTCAGGAAACACTGCTCCTTCCTCGGCGTGCAGGGTGCTGGGTCTGGTCAGCACAGGTGCTGGAGGGACACAGCAAAAGGACTCTTCTCTTCCTAGTTCCAAGGTGTCTAGCTGGCCAGGCTCCAGCAAAAACCCCTATTTTCTTAAAACCCAACCTCCCAAACTAGGTTTCTGTGCATTTCTTCTGGCATTTCTACCATTTTCCTCTGTCCATTTTATTTGGGTATAATCAGTTCAAATGAAGATTCTCTTCACTATGGGCTTCACCAATATTTCACAGTCCTGTCTACTCTGACTGACCCTAACAATACCCACTGTACTGTAGTTTCACTTTACGGATCCAGATGATCCCTGTCTTTACACCTTAATGAGTCTGTTTTGAAATCAAAGTCCTGATGGGCTTTAGTTTTATTTATCTGGTCAGGTCTTTAATAAGCAAATTTATTCCTTTTTACTATACAATGCGAGAGTTTTCATTTTTCTTCTTCTTTCCCTTTGTCTTTAAAAGCACTAAATAAACAGAGCTGAAAGGGACCAGAAAATGATGAATCAAGTTAAAGATCTCCCCGAAGTTCACACGGATTCAGGTCCTACAGGCGCTACACTGGCCTGCACTACGCCTGTGTGGCCTCGCTGGGTCCACCCATCACATCTGCCGCGCACCGGGCACTGCTCTAGGGGCTGGAGCTGCAGACCACACACACCTGACAAAGCTCCTCTCCTGGGAACTTATTTGCCTTCTGGACGGGGGGAGAGGCAAACAAGTACAGAAATGAGTAGATTTCAGGCAGGGATACATGGTATGAGGAAAAATAAAGCTGGATCAGAGAACGGTTCCCCCCAAGAAAACAGCTTAACAGTTAACCAGACCTTCGACAACACCAAGTAATTTGAGACGCTGACAGACTCCTAGAAGAGGAAGGTCACGAAAATTCAAACTGCCCTAAAAGTGAACTTTACAAATTTCCAACAGGTAAGAAATGCAGACCTAGATTACAGAATATCTTTAACATTTAAGACATCACTGTAAACTCCTTTCATGGCAATTTCTACAGAACGCAGACGCTAACCAGATGCAGGTATCCCTGGAACAGACAGGTTCGGAGCACATCACGGTGCTCTTACCATAAAGTAGAAAAAGATCAGAGTGAGAGATGAGGAGTCAATTTTGTGTTTTAAATACTAAAAATTTAGACTTAATAAAATGTAAAACTTGCTAACAGAAATCTACGTAAACTTAATGCATGAAATCTAAGCGGAGTCACAAGTAACGTTAACAGGTTAAATGGTAACGACAGTCGGCATTTGCTGAGCACTTCCTGGGCGCCTGAAACCACTCTGATGCCTTCCGTCTGATGTATCTGATCCCTTCAGAACAGCTTCCTATTTCCGAGCTGAGCACACAGAGGCAGAGAGGCTGCACAGCTGTGTCCAGACCCAAGTGGCCGGGCGGCGAGGGGCTCCTCCACACACACCTGGGAGTACATGGGTTCTCCTGAATTATCCTGGTCATGTCGAAACAATTTCACAGCTTTCAGGTATGTTTCCATTGACTCGAGTTTGGCTTTGTCAAAACCTAGAAAGAATTAACAAGGACAAAAGTATAGTAAGAAATTTTGAACTCTTTGGGGGTGAGGTGAATTCCAATGAGCAAGAGACACTACACGTTACTAAGTACTCAAAATACAGTTCTTTACAAATTGCTAACTGATATTACTCTCAAGAGTAGTAAAAATTCTACCCTTCATGAAAACTTGTAGCCCCCCTTTAAAAGTTACTCAGAGACAAGATGAGAAACGCTGAGCCCATTCTATAAAACACAAAATCTATACTGTTTGTAGAAGATGAATCAGTAACATTGAATATAACACCCATCACAAAGGACACTCATTACTTTCCAGTATGAATATAAAAATCAAAATGAAAACATAAATGAAGCTTAAGGACGTCTCATGAGCAGAAAAACAGAGGTCTAACAAGATCTTCCAGAAGGTAAAAGAATCTGGATGTTAACTACAGGCAGTTCTCTGCAAGCCTCGTGGGAAGTACACGGTGGTGGCGGATGGTATTTTCCAGCAACTAGCCTAACAGTATACACCCCGAGTTGTGTGTTCTTCCTACAATGTGACAATGACATCCCTCCATCAAGGGGCAGAATCGACCCTGTGGACCTGAGCTACGGGACCCTTGGCTGGCTGGCGCTCACTCTCGCAGGTCACCCTGCCCTGGAAAAGCCACCGCGTGAGAAAGGCCACGTGGGAAATGTGGCCTTTCTCAAATCGCAGCTCTGGCCACTACGGAGCACCTGTTGACGGGTGAATGACCTTCAGGACCCCGGGCCCGAGCTTCTGAGTCTCGCGGTTGAGGCTGCAGACATCATGGAGCAAAGACGAGCTGTGCCGCCCATGCCACCTACATTACTGCCCATGGACACCGTGCAGCCCTAGGTGATTATTGCTGTTTTAAGCCATTAAGTTTTAGGAAAATTTGTTATACCAACAGATCATTAATACATAAGTCATATTAACATGCAAGAGAGGAGGCACCTCCATCATTTCTCTCTAAATGTTCTATCCACCAAATCCCCTTTAGAGAAAGCTCTGCACTTGATGAGAACCGTTCCAACGTTCCAAATGACCAACTATCCATTTTGCCATCTGACCTATTAACTTCTAAATCTGCCCCCCCAAGTGAAGAATACTAGACTCTATCCCCCAAATGTACTTATGATCAGAAACCAGTAGTTCAGCAAGGTCTCTCAGAAAAGGGACATGGGGGCTGTGAGGGGAGTACAGGAGCACCTTCTGGTTTTAGAGATCTTTCTATACTAGATCTTTCTACACAAGAGAGTCCAACCTCCTGTTTATCAGGCTACAAAAAAGATCTAGAACCTGGAACCCTATGCTGCTTCTCACAAAATGGTGTTACTCTTTAGACAGAGCACGGGTCCCCAGACCCTTTTGTCTGGTGGCCCCTCTCCTCCTGTTACAGGGACACCGTGAGTCCGCACACGCCTGCCCCCATCAAATTGCAGCTCTGGCCGCTACGAAGGCCATGCTTCCTGGAAGCAGTGGACCAAGACCGGTAGCGGGGCTCCTCCCTCAAAGTCACTGTAAATGGGTCACACGGGAGGGACTAGGTTTGGAGGGCACAACACTCTTTAAAAGACATCTGAGGCAGTTTATTTGAAAGCCACTATTTCAAAATAAGATAATTTCCTGAACATTAAATACCACGCACACGGTAGTTGTTTATTAGGAAATATTTCAGACAGACACACTGGACGTGTAACACATTTATCCTAATGATCTTTCATCTTCTTACCTGTATGTTCTAAATGTTTTAATGTCACATTGTCAACAGGGAAAAAGCTGAGGATAGCACCATATTCTGGACACATGTTTGCTATTGTGGTCCGATCCACTATAGATAACTGTGAAACTCCACTTCCAAAAAACTCAACAAACTTTCCAGCCACTCCTACTTGCCGGAGGTGCTATATAAAGGGATACACAGAAACACACACAAAATTAGTTAAGATTGACATGGATTCTCTGAAAAGCACAAAATCTAATTTTTAACCCCTACCAGCGACACTGGATGAAACAGGTTCTCTGCTGTTCTTATCAAATGTCAACTCACTCTGGGTTTGCAGGTATTTTAGGACAAACACAGAAACCAGCCCAATGTCACCGTCGGGCAGGAGAGAAAGGGCTTAAGGGCTGAAAATGGCTAGATCCACACGTGAATGTCAGACGCGACAGTGCATGTGGTAGCTGGCAGCCTTTCTTTCTTAGAGGACACAAAACAGTGCTAACCACTGATGCCGTCTTAGATGTAATGAAATACGAACATGCTGATGAAACTGTATTTAGACAAAAAAAATACCTATTGGCTACAAAAATTCTTCGAATTCCAACCCTGGTCCACATATTTACAGCATCGTTCATTATTGGTAAATTTCATTTTGACAGGATTTCACACGTCCTTGTAAAGTCATGTTTCTGAGTTGTTACCGAGTGACCACAACAGCGGCTCGCCTAACTACAACACGGCCTCAGACTGGGGTAGGAGACGCCTAGGGAGGTACCGCGAACGAAACCACCTTCAACCCAAGAGTAACATTCAGCTCGAACACTGCAGAGGTGTGAGGGGTCATTTAATCCACTCCTGGATAAAAGGCTGAGATGTTTCTTTATACTCATGGTTGTGCTTCTGAGGATCAAAGTGGCACACACAGGATACACTAAGCTAAAGGCTGTTTCAACAAATTCATGAGGTGCCACAATACACATTTTGAAAAATAATATGGGATTAATCCTATAAAGATAATGAATAGAACAGAACCTCCGGAGAGAAAATATTTAATAAATGTGAACACACGTGATAGATTTAAGTTTTCTATCAATACGCCAAAATTTAAAAATAGACATGTAATCTTGTTACAAAAAAATATAGCCAAAGGGGTCTAAAAAGTGGCATTACTTCTCAGGTTACCCAAGGGAAAATATGGATTTCTCTAAAACCATATTAAGATACTCCTTTCCTTTAGGAATAATCCTGCAATTCTCAATTTAATTTCTTATCTTTCTGTCCCATACACCGAATCAATGACTTCTGCAAGGTGTCAACATGTTTTCAATTAGGGAAGAAGGCTCCGTGCTAAATGCCGACAGGCGGCTGGATCCTTTCTTTCCCTCCAGAGAATCTCAAAAGCCTTCAGACCAATAATCTAACCAGAAAAGTGGAGACTCCAGGATCCAAACTGGCATTGTATGCGGGAGAGTTCCCACACTCATGTATTTAACAAAATGGACTTAATCATTAAAATAAAGTTACTGAAAACCAGAAATTTAGGATGGAGAGTTCACTAGGAAACTCCAGAGTACATGTATTAAACAGCATGCAGCCGATATTTTAAAAATACAGGTTAAGTTTTTCCATAATCCTTTAGAAGTATTAAAACAGCCAAGAGACAATCTTGACACTGGCACACTTCTACAGTCCATATTCCCCAGGAGAGAAATAGTTTCTAAAGGGCAAATAATTCAGTTAGGTATTAAAGAAATGCAATTACTTTTCCTAAACAGGACTCTCTAATCCATGCGGTCACCAAGTGTTAACAGCTAGGAGCCCGGGTGCATCCTGTTGAGCACTCACTGCTCAGCCCGGTGACCCTCTGCCAAGTCATTAAACCTGACCGTCTCTGTTTTCTCAGAACTGATAAGGCGCTGGTCACAGTACCGCTCTTCCAGGCTTGTAACGAGGAATGAATGAGGCATCAGGTCAAGGAAACAACAGCATGGCACGCACTTCTGTACTTCCTAGCGCCAAGGAAGGGTTCTGTATCTGCGGCTGCTCCCGTGATGGTCACTACGAGGCCGTGGCCAAGAAAGCCACACGGAGGAAGCGGCGCAGAACCCAACGCCGCCCTCACACGGCCCTTGTATGCAATGTCCACTACGTCTCACGGTTGACACAATTACCTTTGTAATGCCAAGCACGACATCTATGGATGTGACAAAAGGGTTGGATGAGCCGGTCAACTCACACCCAACCACCTCCGGCAGAGTAAGAGAGACCGGCAGGCCCAGCATGACTGCTTCGGTTTCAATGCCTCCAACCCCTGAAGCGATAAAGACAGACAGTGAGCACATCTGAAGATTATGTACGGTCTACATAAGGTCTCCGTGTAACATCTAGTCTCTGAGTGCCCCATGAGCTCGTCTTACTCACGAAGCACCTCACAGCCACCACACTGCCGCTATTATTGTGGACAGGGACCCAATCTCCTCAAAAGAATGACTCCACTCACATGGTTGAAACAAACTGGTGTTTACCTTTCTATTAAATTCAGTAAATGTTTTATATTTATTACGCTGAATACTGTACTGTGCTTGTCAAGATACAGAAAGAACAGAAGCCAGGACCTGTGACCCTCAGGAAGCTCACAGTCTAAGGATAAAGACAAAAGAGTCAACAATTCTAACTTCCTGTAAGAGACTGAGAGCATTCTGCCAGATGGAACAGCCCAGGCCAAGCTGATCCCACCCTCCGGGGGATCCATGACTTGTCTTTAAGGCGCGTGCACGGACGGCCAGGGGCAGCAGGTTGTAAAGGGCCTTGTATAAAATGCAAAGGAATGTGGAGCCCTAAAGAAGGCCAAGAGAAGCCCTGCAGGACTTGGACCAGGGAGTAACCATGTCGTCCCCAAGATCACCCCACAATGGCAGTGCTGCGTGGGGCACACTGTCCACACACATCCAGGTCCAGAGTCGTCCTGTCGCCGCTGTTACAGGGGAGGAAACCGCCTCAAAGAGCCTATGAAGACCAGCTACCTACGCTCCTTTACAATGTTCCTGACACCCTCTCCCCTCAAATCAAATATAGTTAGTGGTTTACTTACCCCACCCCAGAATGCCCAAGCCATTCACCATGGTTATGTGAGAATCGGTGCCAACCACACTGTCTGGGAAGAGGAAGTCATCTTCTTCAAAAACCACTCTCGACAAATACTCTAAGTTTACTTGATGAGCCATTCCAGTTCCAGGAGGGATTACAGCCACGTTCTTAAAAACTCTTGAACTCCACTATATCATGTTTAAATTTAAAAAAATCCAAGTGTTGGTATATCAATTTGTGCTCACAATCAAAATATAAGTCAATACTGACACTAAAAACATTTTACTGACATTCAATATGGTCAAAGTTTACACTAGACACACGAAGACAAATACAAAGATACCAACCCTAAACATATTCATTTTGCAGATTATTAAAGCAAAATTAAGTCAAAGAGAAATGTTCTACTAGTCCAGATAAATGGCAGTTTTCAACCATGCCCGCCCCAAGGACTGTTGGACAGGAAGGGGGGAGGGGCAAGCACAAGGCCTTCCCACAACCTCAAATGATAGCCACTTGGTTTCATCCTATTTTATATACTGGGGTTTCCAACAAGATTTTATCTGAAGGGAGAAAAGGTTCTACTGCCACGAAGCGTTTAAAAACTACTAATTTAGGGGCGCCTGGGTGGCTCAGTTGGTTAAACGTCTGCTTTCAGCTCAGGTCATGATCCCAGGGTTCTGGGATCGAGCCCCGCATCGGGCTCCTTGCTCGGTGGGGAGCCTGCTTCTCCCTCGGCCCCTCCCCCTGCTCATGCTCTCTAATAAATAAAGTCTTTAAAAAACAACAACAAAAAGAACCCAAAACTCAAACTTACCAATATTTTGTGCATTTCAATATAAAAAAATCCCCCCAAATCATGTGTACCTTAAAAAATTGAAGCCTCTCTCGATTTCTGCCGAATTCTACTTCTTGGTTTTTTAACACTGTTTCAGGTCTAAAAGGAAGAAGAGCCTGCATTAAACGTATGTATCACAGAAAAGACTTACCTTGTTTCTAAGTATTTGTTCTTACGCACACACAAACACGTTTTAAAAAATTCCTGGAACAGCAATTTACTAGACTTCACAGAATTAGCTGTTTTCTTTCAACAAGGAAGCTCTGCTTTAAACAGCACTCATGGCAGCTACATCTAGGGCTCATCCATCCCCGGGCCAACTGTACTAGGTCGGTCGCTATGTGAGTTGGCTGCAGTGATCAATAATGCAGCAGCCTCATGCACTTCCTCCCACCTGGGCCTGCTGCACCTCTGCTCGGCACGTGTAGAAAGCTTCGAGCAAAAATGCTTGCATTCATCTCACCCAAAACGGAAAGCTCTATATTTTGCATAAATGGCAGTTTACTCTGTATGGAGTATAAACATATTTTATGTGCATTATGTAAACTAAGAGGTAAAAACAATCCACCTCCAAGCAGTAAACACTGTGTCACTTTCAGGAAGCTATTTTTATCTAACAGACATTTAAAAGATGATTTCTAGGGGCGCCTGGGTGGCTCAGTCACTAAGCGTCTGCCTTCGGTTCAGGTCATGGTCCCAGGGTCCTGGGATCGAGTCCCACATCAGGCTCCCTGCTCCACGGGAAGTCTGCTTCTCCCTCTGACCCTCATCCTGCTCGTGCTCTCTAATAAATAAAATCTTTAAAAAAATAAAAATGAAAATAAAAAATGATTTCTAGCAGTTTTAAGCTGTTTCCTGCCAGCTGGTGATCAAGTGTTGACTAAGATATCAATACAACTTAAATTATATGTGACCTCCAGGGTCCAGACAATCACAGATGTTCACTTGTCAACTTTTTTTTTTAAGATTTTATTTATTTATTTGACAGAGAGAGACACAGCGAGAGAAGAAACACAAGCAGGGGGAGTGGGAGAGGGAGAAGCAGGCTCCCCCTGAGCAGGCAGCCCGATGCAGGGCTCGACCCCAGGACCCCGGGATCATGACCTGAGCCGAAGGCAGACGCCCAACGACTGAGCCACCCAGGCGCCCCTTATCAACTTTTTTAAAAAACACAAAGATTCCTTGACTAATTCACTGCTGAGTGATCCCTTGAAGCCACAGCACATCTCGATGAGATTTTCCTCAGGACTCAGGGAGCCAGTCTGATTACTGTACGTCCCATAGCGCATACGGCTACAAAGTGCCCCTTGTTCATGAGCTCAGAACCCGACTTCAAATTAGGCAGTGATTTCCAGGCCCATTTCCTACACATCCATTCCCTGTCTGGGTCTGCAACGGACATTGCACCAAGGCCCCGCAGCACCGAAGGGAGCCACTGGTTTCCTACATTCCTACAGCCAGAGACTACAGTCCAACCCAACCAAATGCTTTGTGATGTGGAGTCAAAGCTTGGGGGAAATGTTACACCAGATTGTACTGTAATCAGTAAGTTGCCCTTTTCAGGAAGTTAATTTCTGTGTTAAGAAGAGAAGCTTGGGGCGCCCAGGTGGTTCGGTTGGTGAAGCAGCTGCCTTTGGCTCAGGTCATGGGATCGAGCCCTGCATTGGGCTCCTTGCTCAACGGGAAGCCTGCTTCTCCCTCTCCCTTGGCCTGCTGCTCCCCCTGCTTGTGCTCTCTCAAATAAATAAAAATCTTAAAAAAAAGGATGCTCATCTCAAATGTCAACATGCACCTAACAACCAGGACAACTAGGTAGCAGGAACAAGGACTGTTTACATAAAACTGTCCTAATCTGATGGCAAGGAACCTACAGATTATACTGAATTCCCAGAAACGAAGAGCGCGTGAGGTCACTGTGACCGGAGGCCTCCCAGAAATACTGAGCCCCCAACTGTACAACCAGAGAGAATCTGAAAGAACCAGTTTACGGACACATGAATTAATGTATCATGTGGCTCTTAGGATAAGATATGTGTGGATATTATTCTTAGCTATTCTAAATCTTAACTGTGTTACATTTCTTTAATTTGAAAAAGTATGTCATTTTCTTACTAAATTAAAAAAATTTCTGACCGTCTACTAACAATGGGGTAAACAACCTAACTCTGAATCTTATAGCATACAAAAATTCAAGTCTAGAATTTTTTTTTTTTAAACTACTTATTAGAAGATTTTACCAACTCCTAAAAAGAGAATTCTTTTCTGGGCAGGTTCACTGCTTCCCATAGACTAAAAGAGCTTTTTATCATTGTAATATTTGTAACATCAACCTCTTCATGCAAATGGAAAAAAACAAGAAATCTAGTAGGAGAGAGAAGCTAAAACTATAAATAGGGAATTCACAAAAGCAATGTGAACGAATAAAGAACATGTGAATGGTACAGATTCATTAAAATAAAAAAACGCAGAGTTTAAGATGGATCCCATTTTTCTGCTTATACCAGTCACAAAAATTAAACATATTTATAGAAAAATCTTAAGAAAGGCTTTCTTCCTTTGGAACAGAAACCAGTAACGGCAATACCATCTTACTGGCTTCACTTGGGGCAGGGGGAGGCCGCGAGGTCACAGGAACCACGAGGGGAAGGGGACAAATGAGATTTTGGTAACTGAAACATAACCCAGCACTGATCGACATTTGAAAAAAAAAAAAAACCCCATACTCAGGCACTGGTTGCAAATGAAAAGGACAGAGAATGGGTGTGTTCTCAATCTGCGAAGACAATTTTCCTGAGTTTCGGCCCAGCTCTCCAGAATCGCACGATCCTCTGCAGGTGGTCTGGCCCCTGCAGGGGAGCTTCTTGGGCTGGGCTCGGAGTGGAGAGAGCCTTCCCGCTTTCTGCAGGTCGCCGCCGCCGGGATTCGGAGCGTTCTGTATTGCACTGGCATTCCACAGGAGGAAACAGAGTAAGACCGTTTACAAGTGACAGAAATTCAGCTTTTCAAAACGCACACACTTGGCAAAGTTATCTGGAACTAAGTATATGTTGTTCAAACATTAATACAGTATTTAACTTAGGTTTCAAAAGCGAATCTTAGATTACAAAAAAACCCAGAAATAGGTCACTTAAATTTATGGAAATGAAAACACAATTCTATGTGCCCAAGAAAATCATTTTCATCTACTTCTATGACAATTTAAATGACTTTTAGCAAGCACCTAAGTGGGTTTTTTCCCATGTAACAACTGAAAAGCAGCACATAGCCACAGTGCTAATCTAGAGGGCAAAAGCGCTCGCGGGCTGCAACAATCGTCTTGGTCCATGTGAAAGATCACAAGAAAATTAGGTTTTCTCTAGTCTGACCTTGGTCACAGGGACCTTCTAAATAGACGTGTATTTCAGTGGGAGGAAAACACAGTTTTAATACGCACTGTGATTTTAATCACCAATTAATTAAAGACATTCATGGCTCCCGTCTTTAGATTCTCTCTCGAAGGCAAGTAGATTAAAAAACAAAAGATAATGAAGAAAAATTCACTAAACAAAGCAGGTTCTGGCTCATACATTTTAATCAAAAATGGCAGGAGAAATCTACAAACATGAACACCATTTTAAATTCAGACTCCATTAAAAAAATTCATCAGTACATAAACTTCCCCAGCTCTGTTCCTACATCAATGTATACTAAACATGGCAGCCTTCACTCAGGCGCCCACAGTCTCTGCTCCCTTTCCTCTAACCAGGGCAGGGGCTGGATGCTGGCTACCTCGCACAGCCGTCTTCACAAATACCTGTGCTCACGTACCATTTACTGAAGTCGATCTGTAAAGAATGGTCAACTGTGAGATCTGTCGGGCAGGCAGGGTGGACCTTCTTCGGGTCACCTCCAAGAATTTTCACTGCCTCCCTCATAGCAGCAAAATCCACCATTGCTGGTATTCCACTAAAAAATAAAGAATGATGGAATTATGGTCTGAATTGTATGTTCATACGCTCAAATAAGATACATTTATTCAGTTTTACATCTAAACGTATCCCTTTCTAGTTTGCACTCGCGTTAGATAACATACTTGTTATCCAAAGTTGGACATATCCTGGTTTCCTGAGAATTAGCGTTAATGTTACTGAGAACTTGAGTGTCACAAATAACACAAGAGAGGACTTTTAGAGGCAAAAGGAACCTTCCAGAAAACTGTCTGTGGAATTCTTTCCCTGTCTTAAATTTCATGAGACTCCCCTCCCTCCCAGAGGCCTCTTAGGACTCCGGGCTCTCGACTAGATGTACGTGCCTCCAGACACCGGAGGCACGGCTGGTCAGAGACAGGAGTCTGCAGGGAAGATGGGGTCGTGACCACAGAACAGTATCGTAAATACTGTAATAGCAGCGCACAAAGGGTATACAGAACAGTGGCATGCAAACCAGATTTGAGGGGGTGAGTGAGGGGGACGCTGTTATTTATCTAGCTAACTCCTACAGCTCCTTCCAAACTCTTCCAATAGACAATTCCTGGGGACTCAGATCAGACTCCGGATTTTATTCCAAGTGTGATGGACGTTCACTGGTGTACGGGGGAATGACAGGACCTGGTTACCATTGATAATCAAGTCACGTGATCTACCATGAAAAGACGACACAGACTGTAAGTGTGCGAGGAGGGGACTGGCTAGAGACACTGACAACTGTAGTCCCGCTGAGAGCGCCCGGTGCAGGACCAGGACGGGGTGGAGACGGTAAGAGGTACGTGGGCTCAGGACACGTCTCAAAGGCAGAGTCCACAGAACTTGCTGACAGGCTGGATTAGGAGGGAAAGAGAAGAGTCGGGCATCTCCTGTGATGGGGGAGACGTGGAGAGGGATAGGTATGGCAGCTGGGCAATAAGGCTTTGCATGTCTAAGTCTGAGAAGCCCACTCACCAACTGGGGACAACAAGCAGGCAGAGTTCCACAAAAGCAGATTTTCAATAAACAGTGCAAGAAACAAGCGCCTCATTTTCAATGAACGGCTTTAGTTTAGAAAGGACAATTCTTTAAATTTACAAACTAATCTTCAGAATTAAAAACAGAGCCAACCATCAGGGAGTCTGAATTTTAAGAAGGAAATGCTCTATCACTCACGTAAAATCTTGAAGAAGAACACGGGCAGGGAAAAAGGGCACTTCGACATTGCTTTGTTTGGTTTTCCAGTCTAAAATGTTCATGACATCTTCCTTTTTCATTAAAAAGCCATCACAGTTCCGCACAGCAGCTTCCAACAGGACCCGTATTGAGTAAGGCAGCACATCTGAGTCAGAGACAGTATTATTGTTACTAAGAGCGTAGTCTTAACTACACAGAAGTCACAAGAGCAAAGAGATAAAGACAGGGCTGCACTGTTTTCTCAGTCTCAGTAAACACGGAGGAAAACACCGTTTATGTTAATATCAGGCTTACTATCAATCTTTCCCATATGTCAGCCAAGGTGCTGAAAAAGCAGAGATTAAACATTCTTGAAAGAGCTGCACATTTCTGAAATGGGCACATGAGACTGACCAATACTTAACATTCAGGAAGACACAGAAAATGAGAATTAAATATAATAATGAAAACATACCTAAACTGTACAGAAGTCTGTAATAAATTTTAAAGATTTCCATCAAAAGTGGTTAAGTTTAAATCAGGGTGCTTACATGAGTCAAATTCAGTTCATGCTAATTGTCACTCACCCTAGAGTCCTCGTTTAAGTGTATCACAGAGACACAGACCCCAACACCGTTAAGTTTTCAATCATACTCAAGTCTCACACCAGATTTAAGACTGAGTCACAGCATGGGGCTGGCTGCAGACTCCCGGCAGCCCACACAGCGGACCACTATGCAGCTGTCTAAAGGGATGAAGATGTCTGCATGTCGATAAGGAGTGATCTCCAGAACGTACCATTCCGAGAAAACACAGTGCAAAACCATGCTTACAGCACCCCACCATTTCAGTAAGAAAAGGCATTAAAAAAGGTGTACAAATACAAATTACTGTATAACAAATACAAAATTTTAAAGTATAAATTAAATATGTACTTTAAAATATTACTAAATATTTTTAACGTATAAAAATATATTAAATAAAATTAACATATACTCCCCCCAACCCCAAGAAAGAACAATGAAAGGACAAACTGAAGAGTTAGTATCTATTCCCACAACATTTTGGCGGCATCTCCCTGGCAGGATGTGTAAAAAAGACAAAAAGATCCACAAAGAAAACAAAGTATGTTCAGGTATTAGTAGTACAGAGGGTGCAGTTTAAAGTCCCATGTGTGACGAGAGGAGGCAAAAAGCACTTGTGTTCCTGTGGCTGGAAACCAGGATTTTCAAGAGTAACGACACAGAAGTATAAAATCAGAGTAGCTAACTTAAAAAAAAACAACTTCCATTTCAATTGGAATCCTAAGTACAAACTCAGTTTATTTCTCTCTTTCTAAACAGTAAGTGTTTCCAGCTCTGTTGAGTGAAAATGCCCCAGTGACAATCCACCAGTAAGGCCCCCCAGCCTCTCGGCCCGCTGTTATGCTAACTACTACTTTCCCACTAGGAGGAGAACACCCGCGTTCCCCCCCGAGTTCCTCCCACGTCTGGGAAAGGGTGGAAATAGGCCCAGGACATCCTGTGTGAGAAGCTGCAGGGAACGCGGGTGGGTCAGTATGAGCATCCAATTCACTGACATGTATCAAACACAAAAACAGCCCTTGTTCCTAAGGACTCTTTAAAAAACTCTTCATCGATGGCCATGCAAGTTCCCAGAGCAACTCATGACCCTGAAAACTCACATCGGGGGAAACGATCAATCATCGATCTCGTCCTTCCTCATTCAAGGAACCAAACAGCCAAGAGGAAGCTCCTCACAGAGGAGTGGGAGCTAGTAACACAGAAGGGGAGGGTGTCATTCGCAGCATCTCCCGCGTGCAGCCCCTGGACAGCGCTGGACTATTCGGTGAGACGTGGTCACAGAACTCGGAACAGATGGAGCCCGCGGGCACCAACGACAACCACCAGCATCTCCAAATGCGGGGCAGGAGAGACACTGTCTGCTCTGAGGAAAGCAAAGATCCAAGCCCCACCACCAGGGTTCTTGCAAACGTCCACACGTCCACACAGCCAACCCCACCTCCCACCGACAGCAAACAGGGGCAGCGCAGCAGGAAGGGGACCTTGTGAAGGAGCAACCGACCGACACACATGGCTGCCCCCACACCCAAATGGCACGGAACGCGGAGAGAGGGCGAGCCTGACAGACCGCCAGGGACTTACGAGGTGCAGCAACCAAGTGCTCCGGGCGAACCTGCCTGAGACACGGGAAATCTGAATATGAACCGGGTTCTAGATCATAGGAAGAAATTACTGTTAATTTTATTAGGTATAATAAAGGCACTGAGAGTATTATTTTGGAAAGTCCTTTCACACATCAGTGATGTATGCTCAAGTGTATTTATAGGTTACGGAGATGGTGAAATGTTTTATTTTAAAGGTTTTATTTATTTATCTGACAGAGAGATCACAAGCAGGCAGGCAGGCAGAGGCAGAGGAAGAAGCAGGCTCCCCACTGAGCAGGGAGCCCGATGCGGACTCAATCCCAGGACCCTGGAACCATGACCTGAGCGGAAGGCAGACGCCCACGGACTGCGCCCCCAGAGATGGTGAAATATTTTAAACAAAAGGTCAGCAAATGTCGTTAACTGGCGGACAAATACAAAGTGGGTTATGATTTTGTCCCTACTTTTAGGACTGAAATTTTAACTCACACAAGTTAAAGATGAACGAAGTTTTAAGTGTGGAGACAAAGGACTACATAACCAGAAACACTGGACTGAATGCCTGTATTTGCCATTTACTACAGGTCTGACCTTGACAGACGGTCTCAAGCTGATTCATGTTCTTGCCTAAAAGAGGCACACCAGCCACCTAACGGAGTACCCAATACTCATAAAACCCACAAACACATAAGAGTTTTCATCCTACCTTCCTACCTCAATGAGAAACACAACAAAGTCCTCCAAAGCAAGGGGAACTGCAGGGGAGAGATTTTTTGATAGAACACTTAGAAATAATGAGGAGGAAAACATCACAGAAGCAAATACACAGACCAGTTTTCTATGTGGTTAAACTGTCCTGGAAAAACAATGTCAGGAATACTTTTTGTTTAAAGATCTTCACAGAAAGCATTTACTCAACTTCTAATAAAATATGGCAAACTCCAGCAATTATGTCCATTCACTTTTGAAACCCACTAAGAGAATAGTAAAGAAATAAAGTCACAAACCCACAGGAACAAAGAGAAGCACAACTCAAAAGATTTTGGCCAACAGTGCATGGATGACCATGCCCACACGGAAGAGAGGCAACCGAAGGCAGGCCAGCCTGGGCTGCTTGAGGGCTGGGTGAGGGGCTAAGAGGCCACGGAACAAGGCCTTCGGAACACCAAGGGAAAATCATTTCCAGCCCAGAGAGCTCTGTCCATGGGCAGCCGCGCGTCAATCACGCAAGGCCTCCAACACTGTGCTTCCTGGGACGGACGCTATGGGAGGGAAGTGGAGAACAGAACAGCACACAGGCTGGGACACAGTGGGGTCCCCCGTGCAGCAGGCAAGGAAGTCCAGGTGAGACGCTGTCAACAGAAGAGGGAAAAATGAACTGCCAGACTACCTGATTCTACCTGGAGGAGTTAGTTCTTCTAGAGAATTTGGAGAGGAATTACTGATAAAGACACAGCAAACTTAGCAAACAGAAAAAGACAATCATTACTTCAAGGAAAAAACACAAAGTTGTAAGAGAAACAAGATGCAATCATCATTTACTACACGGACTGGCTGGGAACATTTATGGCCATCAAAATATAAACATGGAATGCTGGCTTGATAACTAAGAAAAGGCACCTGGGATATATGTAGAAAATTGCCAACCTCTTATTTTCCACAGTAGAAAGCTAGAAGTCTATAACTGAAAATCAAAACACAGGCGTATAAGTTACGCTTTTTAGTAACATGGAGGAAAGTACTGTAAGAAACAGCCAAGAGTATTAGAAATGGTATTTTCTGCAGAGTAGAAATTCAGGGTAGGGCAAGGGGCTACTGTTTTGGTTATTGTATCAGTGGTCTTACTGGGTTTTTAATTCTAAGACTTGAAAATTCAGTATTAAATTTACTTTTTTTTAAGATTTTATTTATTTATTCAAGGGAGAGAGAATGAGAGATAGAGAGCATGAGAGGGGGGAGGGTCAGAGGGAGAAGCAGACTCCCTGCCGAGCAGGGAGCCCGATGCGGGACTCGATCCCTGGACTCCAGGATCATGACCTGAGCCGAAGGCAGTCAATCAACCAACTGAGCCACCCAGGCGCCCATTCAGTATTAAATTTAAAAGCAACTATCAAATAAGCGTGCTCTAAGAACAAGACGTCACTGTTAACTGGACAGTTAACTGGACAGAAGCACTAACTTGCAAATGTGCCTAAGCCTATCGTAACTCCCAGCGGCCTACAAGGAGCGACGCAGAGGCATGCCAGCCGTCCCTCAAACGTTCTGTGCTCGGTGGCCTCCAGACAATACGATCACCTTCCCCTGCTGGCATTCGTCGTCACACCACCTTCCACATGGTTGTCGTGTGACCAACAGAGCATGGCGGAGGCAACAGCACGGGGCTCCAAAGGCCATGGCGTGAAGTCTCCCAGCACCAGCCTCCCTCTTGTGGACCATTCACTCTGGGGCAAGCCAACAGCACGTCGCAGGGACGCTCATGGGGTAATACCAGGGCCGGTGTGCCAATGGAGCGTGGGGCTCCCTGCTCAGTGAGGGGGGGGCCTGCCTCTCCCCGATGCTTGTGTGTGTGCACGCGCTCTCTCCCCCTGCGGGGCTCGATCCCAGAACCCTGGGATCACGACCTCAGAGCCACCAAGGCGCCCGTCTTTCTCAACTATTCTAACGGTAACACCTGCAGTTACTTATTTAGGACCTGCTGGGGATCAGATGTCGAGGTGCCCCGCCCCAACAACGGTACTTAACCCGAGGTGACTCCAGAGGCGATACTCCAGAGCCATAACCAGGGAGGCCAGCAGACACTGCAGTGTCCCTACCCCAGCACAGAACGGGCCTTCGTTGCTCCTTCTTCCCTGTCCGACTACCCCACCTCCACGCGTACTGTCCTGCTCCAACCAGACCACCCTACAAGTCCACAGAGCTGACTGACCCCCACAGCACCGCCCGCCCGCCCGCCCCCTCACTTCCACCGTCTAGGTTCCGGGTGGTTAGACCTCTCACTC